CTAAAGGGAGAAAAAAAAAAAAGCACATTGAAAAAAAAAAAAAAAAAAAAAGGCATTCCAGTAAATGCATTTACTCTCACCTAAAGATTTTTCATCTGCATGAGACAGCGCCAGGCTTTCCATATAAACCACTAACACTTCAAACACAAACAGTTCCACCAGCGCTGATTCCTCTCTGAGAGACAAGATAACTAAGAATTAGGAGAGCAGTAATCACATTGATGAAAACTATATAACCTATACTTTAACCCAGGATGAGGAAACCACAGTAAGGCAATATAATATCCCTTTGACTGAGAAAATAATTTCTCTCAACCGCTCCCGAAATGTGTACTTTTATTGCCAATACACCATAAATGTATAAAATATGTCTTAAACAATCCAATGTTTGTCCCAAACTTCCCCTGAATTTATCTGAGTAGATAAAGCATTAAGTAGCTTATACTGCATATATGTGTATTCTAATACAGCGTGTCTGTTAACCAGTACTGCACATCCAATGTATTGCACACCTTAATTCTTTGTATATGTTGTTGAATGCTAAAGAAGCCCCCAGCCTCTTGAACACATTAGGATGTAGAGCAAGACTGTAAAGTCTTTTAAATAAAGATTGGGTGTTGACAGGGCTTCTTTCTTGCTGTTGAGGTGTTGTCTGTTTTATCGACCATTTCAAGAATTCTCTAATGCATTGTCCAGAGAAGTCTCTCAGTGTGCTATCGCCAGGATCCACCATGCCATCCTTAAACAGAAGATAAAACATTTCATACACTGATCTATGGTAACAAATTATTGCATATGAAAAATTAGAACAACTATTTCAAAAACAGGGATACTGGAATGGAAAAAAAATATTTTAAAAAGTAGCAAATAGTTAGTCAGAATACTGCAAAAAACTAAAAACAAAGCTAAAATCATGTTTATAATTGTTTACTTTAAATCACAAATATTATAAAAACTGTGTTTTCTAAAAATAATGTAAACACTGACACATTTATAAAGCACAGTTATGTGCTTTACAAAGATTCACTCCACCTCGCTTGTTTCAGAATCCTGGAGCATTCAAAGCCCCATTAGTTTTAACAAACGGGAGGGGGGACTGCCAGAAACAGGAGAGCCAAGTCACATGACCTGTCAAAGCCATGTGCTTAAGTTATCTTCCTATAATGAATATAATTAATAAATATATGTTTACATGGAACAGTTATAGTTGCTGATCACACGTTTGCTGGACTTAGCATACAAGCGTCTGTATCTTATGTGGCTACAGGGTTTTTATCTCAACAGTGATTTAGCAGGTATGTTGAATGAAATGCATGGAAATGTATCCAGCCACAAGGCAGAGATAAATATATAACTGCTTATTTGTGATTCGACTAAATATCTGCACACTCATTTGTCTGATTGGTGTGGAATTAAGCAGTTCAGAATCCCAGGCCTGATGTATTGTATCAACTGTATGATTTTCTGCAAATTGGACAAATCTCCATGCTTATAAATTTAAGAGAACCAAATTGCTCATCACTGATAATGAAAACATCAAGTATGCATGTACAAAATGTAAAAGTTTTATAAAAACGTTCAGGTAAATGGCTGCATGTAGTCACAGAAAATACAATATAGTATTAGAAAAGCAAAAACTAAAGTCTGAAGTCATCCAGTAAAGACATACCAAAATAGCTTCCAGTAAAGCCACTGTGTCATTGCTTTCAAACTTCTTGTTGTTAGTGAACCAGTGAATGAGACCCATAACAAGTGGCTCATATAGCTGCCTTGTTACCTACATAAAAAAAGTAGAGCACTTTTAGGATAACATAATAAAACGTTTTGAATGCACATTGGCAAATCTCTGTCCCTAGCTCCACAAATGTTGCCGATTCACTGATCTGGGTAATCAGGAGCATTTATAGTCCTATGGCTTTTGAGGTCAGGGCTAGCCAGGTTTTTTTTCTGGAGAATCACGCTCAGAGCTCACACAGAGATGCCTTATGGATACTGGAAAAGATGTCTAGCTTCATCCTCAGATTCATCTGTGTTGCATTGTTTCTCACCAGTTATGGTTAAATAATAGATTCTATTTTCTGTCTACCTTTGCTCATGTGCTTCCCATGCTCCCTTTTCCCTTTAGTCATGCTGATTTTATAGGTCCAGATCCTGGGTTTTTGATAAACTCAGGAGTCACATCAGGCCCATTCTGACTAAATTCAATGTTCTTCTCTGGTAATCCTTATTTAGCGAGGTGGGTGTCTATTCCAACATTCTTCAAAAGTATAACCAGTAGACAGTATATGACTTCCTATGTCCCTCAATGGACTCTATGAAAATGATTTTACAGAGACTTCGAAAATCATACTTAGTTGCTTAACTAGACAATAACTTTGTAACCAATGAACTAAATAATTAAAAAAAATACCTATATCATTTTGTATTTTAGAAAATATATAAGGCTTTTATTTGGCACAATGTTTTATTTAAAACCTACTGTTTTTATTATAGGCTGACAAATGCATAAAAATTTAGATTGTATTATACTGAAATTTTGTTATATTTTTCTGTGTTTTATTTCATAAATTTTTTCAATAAAGCCTACAGTCTGAAAATAATAACCATGTTATAACTGACTGATGAAATGATCAGGAACTACACAGACTGGTTTTCAGTCATCAGTAAGAGCCGGGATTGAGAGCAACCAGTTGCACAAAGTGTCAGTTGGTGGCTCCTAAAGGTATCCCCAACAAGGTGCCTTGAGCTGGAAGGCATTTAAATACATATGGTGGGTGGGAAAGGGTTCAAGAGAACCTGTACCTTGGCCAGACAAAGTAGCTGGTAATAATCACAAGAGGCAATTTTGGCAGACATTTTTCCTATAGTCACCCATTAGATGGGTGAGAAAGAGCAGTTTATTTGTGCACAGGAAGATGCTTCAGGTAGCAAACATGTGAAGCATATAACTAAAATCCTAAGATTTCTTTTTGAGTTCTGCTTTATATGAACACAACAGAATGTCAAATAGCCAAAACCTAAACTCTAACATCCATCGACCCTAAAGACTGAGCACTTGCATTCCACTGCCCATGCCAGTATTGATGCCTTCTCAGGTGATAAGTGATCGTACTATACAATGTTTTATCATATGAATGTAGGCATAGGACACTAGCAGTCTTTTACTAGGTTATCACTCAGCAAAAAGGAAGACTATTACACCATTGGTGAACATATAGCCAAAATCATTTTTTGCAGGGAATATTTAAATGCCCTGCTAGATTATTTTTTGCAGTTTTGTGTACCATCGGGTACATTTCCTTTTACTTCCTGTTCCAGAACAAGACGTTAGACAAAATCTCCCAAAGTGACTGGAGTTCAACTCTTAAATAGTTGTCGCCATAACAGGTGTGCCCATTGGAAGATTTCCCCTTACCTCTTGTTCTGGGCACAAATCTATATTCTTTGCTTGGCAACAATGGTCACCAGTGTTTAACTGTCCCTCACTCTATCCAAAAATAAGAAAATAGTTTTGCCTAGAAATACACTTTAAACCTTTTGCAATTCCCATTGCATTCTACAGACTAAAAAAAACAAAACTACATAACACACATATATAAATTAAGACTGCTGGAGTTACCAAATCTGTCTTTGTATGTACTCTTTTACGGCAATAAAGCGTAACTCAGTTATTAAAAATGAGTGATGATGGCTTTGGAGACACTGCGATACACTTTAGCAGTGGAAACATTCAGTTCTGTCCTGTATACCTGATCAACATCACAAGCCAGGCGGAGCAGTACAGGAAACGTGCGCTTGTACAGTCTGTACATTGGTGGAGGCCCTTCTTTTGCATCAGGTATTTGAGATGATTTTCCCAACATAAAAGTAACCATGCTGTGCAAAAGTTCACAGGCTGCAACCTAGTAGAAACAAAACAGCTTGAATTACCAAACATTCTTTATGCAAGTTTTTAACTGCAATAAAGTTTACTAAAAAAACCTTGTTTGTTTGATAAATTGATATTGCCTCATATCTGAGCTGAAGAGTAAACTTAATGCTGGCATACACAAAGATTTCTCTTGTTAACCCCACAGGTTTAATGAGAAAACAAAAATCACTCAATTTCCCCATCCATTCTAAAGGGCATAGCTAGAGCAATCTCTTGGGTCAAAATACCCAAATAGTGACAGCAGCTTGCAGGCACTTTTCAGCAAACAATTTTACACCAAACCCCTTCGACACAAGTCGATTTAAAAAAAAAAAAAATCGACATTTGTTGAGTTGGGTGCTGCCAGCAGGGCCATCTCCACATTGAATTTTGTCCAAAATTGATCGGTGTATGGCTAGATTTATTCTATTCACTTCCTAGAATGCGGAACAAAACTAAAAGTCTGCTTCCATCATAAACAACTTACAAAAGTGTTTTGTTTGTGACAGAGTTCCCTTCAGTTAAAAGAATACATTCAAAACCATACTAAGATTAACTTTTATATAGAAGAATTAAGAGCACAGACACAAGAATTCATGGTATTATACAAGCCACAATACGAGCAATTGCCAAACTAATAATAAATTAGAGAATGCTATAAAAAAAAAGATTTATTCTCTCTAAGAAGAAAAATCAAATGAAAACATATCCTATGGAATTGAGAAATTAGCTAAATAATTATGTTTAAGCCCCAAGCTAATCAGTTCACTTGCTACATTAGTGAAATTAAAGCTAGCAGCAGCACCTTTGTCTGTCTGTCACTAGCAGAGAGTGCCAGCTCAGTGACGCGTGGCAGAAATGTTTCCAGGTAGATGACAGGTTTCATATCAGCAAAGGGCACAGCAAAACTTAGCCTCTTCTCTGTGTCCCATGACACATGATTCCTTAGCATTTCCTCAGTTGACGCAGCTTTGAATCGAAAAATAAAAATTAACATCAGCTTTCTAAATATGCATAACAGAAAAATAAAATGTAAAAAGTTTATGAAGGAAAAAAAATATTAAAACAATGGTACTAAATACCAATTATGATTACTAACTACAACTACCAAGATACATGAAGGATGGTCATTAAACATACACCAGGATCTCTCAATACGTAAAACAGTTTGTGACATTATAGAAAACGCCCATAAAAAAGGGTATTCTTGCAATGCTGCATTTTATAGTGGCAAATTCGCCCTAAATACTAAAATGGAAAATGTTAAACATGATAAGAGAAACAACACTATTTACTAAATCTATTATCTTTGTAGCCAAGAAGCTGGAAGAAAACAATGCACCACAATGCAGTTCATGAAATATGTGTGTGTGTGTGTATATATATACTGTATATATTAGGGATGCACCGATATATCGGCCGAAAATGGCACTTTTGGCTAAATGCCGAAAGTGCAATTTTCCTGCCGATACATCGGCGCATCTGTGCTTTCTTTCCTCCCCGCTGGGCGCTGCTCTGTGGCAGAAAGTGTGACAGCCGCCGGCGTCCCTCCCACACGGCTCAGCCTCCTATCACAGTCCGGCAGAGTGGTGTGTGGGCGGAGACAGCCCGCGCTGTCACAGGAGGCTGAGCTATTTTCCCTGCACCTCTCGCTCAGCCTCCTGTGACAACCTGTCAGGAAGGAAACGAGTGCAAACACAGTGATCGCTGAGTGTTTGTAGATAATTGAGGATATGTTGACTATATCCTCAATTATGAATGAATGGGAAGTGATCTACATCACCTCCTGTTCATTCATAGTTGTAGTTATAGTAAACACACAATGTTCTCAAGTTATGAATGAACAGGAACTCTCAGAGGATTCCTGTTCATTGATAACAGGGGATACAGAAAAAGAGATAGAGAACTTTGTGTCCTCAATCTCTTTTTCTATTTTAAAAGGGAAATATCAGGGGTCTGTTTAATATTTCCCCAAAGACCCTAAAAGTAAAGTAAAAAATAAAAATATTTAATAAAAAAATGAATAAAAATAAATATAAAATTTTTTTTAATAAAAAAGTTTATAAAAAATAAAATATTAAAAAAATTAAAATAAAAAACAACATTTTTGGTTTCGGCCTGACAATTTTTTTTATTTCGGTTCGGTTTTGAAATTTCTATTACATACATACACATATATAAATATACACACACACACACACACACACACACACACGAACACTGTATTGTAACCTTCCACTCAGCATCTAACATGTAAAACAGTCAGTTTTGATGCGCAGGGTTGTGGGGAGGATATACGATCTGTAAATAAAAGTACACTTGCACCTTAAGGTACATGGAATCAATTTGCTAGAAACCACAAACATAGACATGCCACAGTACACCCAAGGTGAAAAAGCATGAACCAAACTAGTGCAGCACTAACTCACTACAAACTAGATACCAGAATCCCAGTGCAATTTGTTACAATATGTTATAGCTCCATGGATGCCAATACATTTCTAAGGGCCCAGTCACACCATAAAGAGTGTGTTCCAGAGCGTTCGGCCTCTAGAACAGACTGGAATGCAACCGGGCCGCCTCACTTTGTTTTGGGGCAGGAGGGGGCGTGGCGGTTCATTGAAGTCAATGGCCCATTCCGGTCCAGTGTGATCTGCAAAAATACTGCATGCAGCATTTTTGCAGATCGCACTTGCCACGCGTTCGGGTGCCAGGGACCACACTGTGGGTGGGGGGCGTGGCTGCGGTGCCATTGACTTCAATGCACCGTAACTCCCCCTCCCGCCCCAAAACAAAGTGAGCCGGCCAGTTTGCGTTCCAGAGGTCGAACGCTTTGGAATGCACTCTTTATGGTGTGACTGGGCCCTTATGGTGCTGCTTCAATTGGTGCTAACAAGATTGTTTGAAGTGGTAGTGATGCTTCACAACAGATTTGAATCCTTTAGCAAAAAAAAAAAATAGAAATAATTACCTGTAACCAAACTGTGATTAATTTTTCCTCCTAGAGACCCAAGTATTCGTATTACTCGATTCCTCACTGATGATAAGGATGCCTCTTCCTTCTACAAAAAAAAAAAAGGAAATTAGGTTACTGCTCCAAAGATCAACTTTTGTAGCCAAACTGAGATAACACCTACTTTGTATTTGTTACATGTTCCCATTCACAAAGCATAAATTTAAAAAATATTTAAAACATTGCTGCTTATTTTTTTTAAGTACTTTTTACTTGCTTAAAAATTCTACCTGGCTTCACTCAAAGTAATGTAATGGAGGGTTTGTCCAACGTTATGTTTACTCTAATTAATCCTGTCTGTACTGTGCTCTCAGATTTCATTATCAGTTGTAAATGCGATGTGAACTACTGTCCTTACAAAGGGTTATAGACTTAAAGCATTATGTGTTAATGAGCGGAAGCTGAATCTGCCCCTAAGTTTGTCCCTCCTTCACCAAAGAAACCTCTAAAGGTAAGAAATCATTAGGAATGTTGTGTTAATAGGAACACATAACAAACAGAGAGGTTTTCTCAAATTTGACTCCAAAAGTGGAAATACACTTTAAAGTGAAGCTGACCACAAAAAGTGAAGATTTGCTATGTTTGTACCCAATCAGTACCCTGGAAAAATATACTTTTTTTCTTTTTGGATTCCTTTTGAGAAATAGTGCACTCCCTCATGCTCCTCCAACCTCATCTCTGTATATCTGCATCTGTGAAAGATTTTACTGCTTCTGCTATTCTAAGGAGACTTGAGGTGAGATTAGGTGATATCATTACTGTGCTGCTCAATGGTCTTTAAAACCATGCCTCAACCAAGATGGCTGCCCACACAGAGATACATTAAAGCACAAGTCATGGTAAGTTAGGACCACGGAAACATAAGCTGCGGGGAACGCACAGGCAATACTGGTGACAGGGCAAAAGACCACTGCCTAAAATTTTTGGGCACAACTTTTAGAGTTCAGGTCCTCTAACTTTCAAATGATATCCACGCCCAGCTGGAGTTTTCTAGGCATTAGGACCGGTCTCTGGAACGCACTGTATCGCACTCTGGCTGGCTTCCTGCGTTCAGGGGCGAGAGGGGGGTGGTGGTGCATTGAAGTCAATGGCTGCAAGCTCTATTTTTGCAGATAGCAATGAACCGGAATGCAGGCACTGATGTGCCACGTGTTTGGATGTGGGCGATCGCACTGGGGGCAGGGCTGAGGTGCCATTGACTTCAATGCATCGCCACGCCCCCTCCCGCAGAGAGCCGGCTGTAGTGCGATACAGTGTGTTCCAGAGGCTGACCGCTCTGGAATGCACTGTTTGTGGAGTGACTTGGCCCTTAGGGATCCTCTAAGATGCTCCAAAAGACCAAATAATAGGATTTTTGTACTCACCGTAAAATCCTTTTCTCTCCGTTCATTGAAGGACACAGGGCAACAGATCGTAGATCCTGAATGGTAGGGTATATCGCCACCTGCAGGAGTAGGGCGCTAGGCACATAACAAAAAGACAAGACAGCCTATGGGCGGCCCCTGCTGGTGGCCCAACCCCTCACTTGCTGACAAGTCTCCAGTAAGTAACAAGCAGTTAGGAGTGTACACTCCATAAAAGAGGGCGGGACCTGTGTCCTTCAATGAACGGAGAGAAAAGGATTTTACGGTGAGTACAAAAATCCTATTTTCTCTCCCGTTCATTGAAGGACACAACAGATCGTAGATCCTGAATGGTAGGGACGTCACCAAGCAGTACACACTGAGGGATGGGCAACAACAACCAAACACCCAAAAGACACCTCAAATAGCCGCCTGCAACACATTGAGCCCCAAACCAGCATCCTCCGATGCCAAAACATCCACCTTGTAAAACTTAACAAAGGTGTGAACAGAAGACCAAGTAGCGGCCTTACAAACCCGAGAAACAGGGGCCCCATGACGGAAAGCCCAGGAAGCCCCAACAGCCCTAGCAGAATGGGCAGTGACCGGAAACGGAGGCTCACGCCCCTTAACGGCGTACGCCTGAATCACAACATTACGTATCCACCTAGAAATGGTAGCCGCCGACGCAGCCCGACCCGTACGAGGGCCCTCCGAGAGCACGAACAGGGAGTCGGTCTCGCGGAAAGAAGCCGTAGCTTCCAAGAAAACACGAAGAGCGCGAACCACATCCAAACAGTGGAGCGCACGCTCCTTCCTAAGGACAGGCTGCGGACACAGGGAAGGCAAGACAATGTCCTCATTCAGATGGCATGCCGACACAACCTATGACAGGTACGCCGGCCGAGGATGGAGAACCGCCTTGTCCCGATGCAAAACCAGCAACGGGGACTTGCTCCAACACCCGCCGAACGGAAGTGACGGCCACCAAAAAGGCCACTTTCTGTGACAAAGACATAAGCGGAATCTCCTGAAGAGGTTCAAACGGGGATTCCTGCAACACTGAAAGCACGAGATTCAGATCCCACGGAGCCAAAGGCGAGCGGACAGGGGGAGCAATGCGCGTCACCCCCTGAACAAAGGTGCGAACCAGAGCACTAGACGCTGGACAGACGATCGAGGCACAGAGGCAGCCGCCACAGGGGGGCCACCCCCAGCTGAACCACGCCCGCGTACCACACCCTCCGAGTCCAGTCAGGGACCACGAGGATGACGGTGGCGCCCTCGGCCGCGATCCAACGCAGCAGCCGAGACCACAGATACAGAGGGGGAAAGGCAGAAACCAAACCGTAATCCCAAGGAGCCACCAGGGCATCCACGGCCTCCGCCCAGGGATCCGGGGCCCGGGCCACAACCCCCTGTCCACCTTCCGGTTGAACCGAGACGCCAGAAGATCCACCCCCGGCGTCCCCCAGCGACAACAGAGCTGCTGAAAAACCTCCGGGTGCAGAGACCACTCCCCCGGATCCCCCAACTGTCGACAGAGGCAATCGGCCTGCCAATCGTCCACCCCCGGGACGTAGACCGCCGAGAGAGCCAGGACTCGATGGTCCGCCCAGGAGAGAATCCCAAACACCTCGCGACCCCGCTCTTCGTACCGCCCAGGTGGGTGAGGTACGCCACTGCAGTGGCGCTATCCGACAGGACCCGGGCCGCCAGACCCCGGAGCCGGGCCGACCAATGAAGGAGAAAGAGGCGAATCGCACGAAGTTCCAACACATATATCGACCGTCGGGACTCCTGCGGCGACCAACGACCCCGCACGGTCACGGAGCCCAGGACCCCGCCCCAGCCCCAAGGCTGGCGTCCGTGGTGACCACCGTCCAATGCACGGGAAGGAAAGGACTTCCCCTGCACCAAGGCCGGAGATTGAGGCCACCACCACAGGGAGGCCCTCGCCTCCCGAGAGATCCGAATCTCCCTGCCCAAGGACAGGGAGGACTTGTCCCACTGTACTAGGATGTTCCGCTGCAGGGTCCCGGTATGATGTTGCGCAAAGGACACTGCCTCGAAGGAGGCCACCATGAGACCCAGGACCCGCATGCAAAGGTGAATGGGGGACCACAGGCGAGCCCTCAGTAGCCGGACCGTGGAACGGAGCTTCAGGAGCCTGTCCCGAGGAAGAAAGACCCGGGCCGCGATAGTGTCCAGAACCAAACCCAGAAACTCCAGGCGTGGAGAAGGCATGCTTGGAAGCTTGGGAAGAGGAGGATTTGTTAAAACTTACCACCCTAGGTCGGAGGGCGGGCGAAAAAGCCGCTTGTGAGCGGAGAAAGTAGGCCCAGGCTTCCAGCGCGGTCCCTTCTTGCGCGCCTGGGGAAGGAAGGTACGCTGACCCCCCGTCAGAACCTTAAGGACCACACCCAAGGTGGAACCAAACAGACGGTCCCCAGGAAAGGACAACTCCTGTAGAGCCTCCTTGAAAGCCTGAGCAGCCGATCAGCACGTAAGTCAGAGCAAACGGCGATGCGTCACTGCCGACACCAACACCCTGGACACCAAAGGGTGCCGCATCCAAGGCCGAATTGCAGACATAACGAAGGCCTTGCACCACTGATCCGCTAATGCCACGAAAGCGGGGGAGACACTCTCCACCGCAATACCCTGATGTAACATCCTAGCCCACTCAGAGTCTGAGGGACCAAAGCCAAGACCGGACGCATGAGAGCGCCCGAGACAGAGACCGCAAAAGCGGCGCAGCCTTCCTATCGGAAGGGTCCTTAAAGGACGGAGAATCCTCCACCGGAAGAACCGTGGCCTTGTTCAAACAAGAGACCGGTGGATCCACCCCCGGCGCGGAAGATCACTTAGACACAAAGGCCCCCTTCTAAGGGGTAGCGAACCGAGAACCGCTTAGGGACCACAGAGGACTTAGTAGGCCGTTTCCACCCCTCATAAAGGGGGTGTAAGGAAACACCTTGGCAGAACGCCGACACATATGCGTCCCAAACTGCACGTGCGGCAGCGTGGAAGTGCTGGCAACGTCCTCAATTTTAAGGGTCTCCCTGACAGCGCGGACTAGCGCCGAGACCATTTCACATTCCTGGACCAGGAGCGTAGACGCAGCCTCATCCTCACTGGTCGGATGAGGATGTGAGGAATCCCCTGGATCAGGATGAGGTGACGTCGTGGGGAGTTCCCCCTCCTCATCGGACTCCCCTGACAAGGCAGGGGATGGCAAGGGCAGAACCCGCTTCCTAGGTGGGCGCTGCGTCAAGGCGCGCTCCATGCGCGTCACAAACCCATCCATGGCAGAGGAAAAATATTCCAGGGACAATGCGGTACCGCGGTACCACCCACCCTCCGGTGGAACGCACGGGCGACTGGCAAAGCAGCGCAGGCCTACAGGACGCACAAAGAGGGGGTCTAGAGGGGTCCGCAGAGCGCAGCCCACAACCCTCACAAGGCAATGCAGGAGAGTCAGTCCCTACCATTCAGGATCTACGATCTGTTGCCCCGTGTCCTTCAATGAACTGGAGAGAAAGAATAATTTCCCTAATCCATTTTTTAACCTTGTAAAAAACTTTTACTTTTGAATATGTAATGGTTACATAACACACACATATATATTTCATACATGTTTTATTTACTAGAGGCCTAGAAAAGTTAAACAAACATACCACTGAGAGTGATTGAGATCTCTTTATTTGCCGGATAAGATATTTATTGAAACCCTTTTGGGTTGCACGTGACAGACGCATCACTTCAAAAGGACTAAGCAAGTCATCTAAAAATGCAAACAAATGTTAACGGGAAGGGGCAGTATTCAAGGCAGATCTACAAACACCAGTTCATAGTGCATTCAATTACTGCTGCGATCAATAATATTGACAATAGAATAAACATGCATGCAGTCTCTAAATATCTAAAAACCTATATAGAAAAGTCTTCATCAAAGAGAACAAACAACATATATGGAAACGGACGATAAGCAAGTTGTGCTGTACATAACAGTCAATTATAAATGCCCCCCTTCAATTAAATTACATATTCCTTAAGCTTTATTACCTGAAGATGATGAATTAGTCAAGTATCCATCCAGTGATGGTAGAATATCCTTGTAATAAGGCTGCATTTCACTTGGGCAAATACGGGAAGACCAATCTTCAAGGGCATCAAGGCCAGTATTAGCAAGAGAGGGGCAGCTCAAGCCCAACCGAAATGCAGACTAGATCAAAATAATAAAAAAACAATATACAATTAGTTAAGTATAAGCCACTTATCTACATAATTGGGAAAAAGACAGGCAAAGCACTGCATAGGCTAAACTGTCTGTCCACTCACATGCAAGAATGATGGAACGTGGAATCAGTTGCATAGAGGATATAGTAGCATAAACTTAATTATGCTGACACTACAAACATGGGGACCTATTTATAAAACCTGGCAATATACATTGCTTCACTGTGTTCAGTTTTGCCTCTGTAAGTGTCTACTAATAATAAGTAACCTTGGGTAAAATATAGCTAAAATTATGGAAAGAGAAGATCTATAGATAAACAAAACTTGGTGATATTCAAAAACTTGATGATAAACAAAACTAAAATGATATTCATTAATCTTCACTGATGCACATCTTTATTCTCTAGTTGTCATTATCTAGCATAGTTCCAAGTCTGACTCAAACATGCAGCTCACATTTCGGCCAAAATGTAGCCATGTATGGTTAGCATAAGTCAAGGGGCTTCAAGATTGTTGTTCCTTTGAGATCAGAGGCATTTTCTAGATTGTAAGCTCTCACAGACTGAGCGCTCCTAACCATCCTGTCTTGAACTGTTGCCGCTATATAAATCCTGTATAATAATGATAATCATTTTCTGTGAACTGCGCTGTCATATGTGCAAAGGAAGAGCCAATCCAGCTTTGTCCCGTCTCCCTCTGCAACAGATCACCACATTTACCATCTATTGCTTGCTAATTGCAACCAGCGTTACATCACTATTATGATCTGTTAATTGATCTGTTTCTGCAGGGGTGCAGACCTTATCCAGCTCATTGTAAAGTTTACTACAGGCCCACAAGCAATGACTGGCGCAAAATGTGGAAGGATTGCACTGAGATTACACTGGATTTTACAAAGCTCCAATTAGGTTAAATTGAATGAAGTTTTTAAATTTAGCACAGCTACAAATTTTCTAGCTAGTATTGACAGCTCCTTAACAGTTTCTACTTAGTTAAATATATTAAACAAAATAGTTTGCGCTGGAAGTAGGTATGTCGGCACCAGCCGCAACAATGTATGTATAGATGTAAAATGGAAGGCTTGTATGTTGCGCTCGGTTCAAAATCTATTTGGTTTGTCCGTGATATATCATCAAAACAATAGTTTATATAAGTCGATGTGTCGACTTATATAAACTATTCTTTTGATGATATATCACGGACAAACCAAATAGATTTTGAACCGAGCGCAACATACAAGCCTTCCAGTTTTTACTTAGTTGTTTGGAAAAGATCTTTAAGGCTGGTTTAACACCTAAGCAGCGCCCCATGACACTCATGCCACTGTGATAAACAAATGCTGCAGGGATTTCCTTTCTCCATTGACATGCATTGGCTGCCCATTCTAAATAAATAACCTGATTAAAACGCACAGTAACACATGTTAGGTAGAGCACTGCAACAGTTGAATATAGTGTGAAATGGCCCTTAAGAGATTTTGATACTAAATAGAAAACATCAATGCATTCTAAGAGAAGGCTCTAAAGTCAATTTTCTTACTTGTAACAATGGAACATAGGCTTTCATGTCGGACATGATAATATTGTGAGGTAGAGAAAGTATAAATGTTAAACAAGATGCCAAAAGCTCATCCTTAAACTGTTTCATTTTGGCAGATACCTAGAATCAACAAGTACACGATTATTATACAGTTAGAACAGTGTTAAAAAAAAAAACATTTAAAAAGTACAATAAAACACTCAGAAACAAATATGTAAATAAAACCGTACAAAAAAACTGAAATTGACCCTGTTTGGAATCTATTATACCTCTTTTCCAAATTTTGAAAACAGTGCAAAGCAAGAACGCTTTTCAGGATCTTCTAGACCATTCTTAGAACTTTCTGTATAGAAACCCTGCATGAAAACAAAGGTGTACAATTTGAGACAGCAATCTAAATGAGCATATCATACGCCATCATACGCATCATAAATTATATAGTCTCTACAAAACAAAGAAATAAAGAGGTAAGCAAGAGATTGCATTTTTCTTTACTAAAAAGGTTGATTCTACAATCACATGCTGGATTCCAAACTTAGAGTTGCTGTAATAATCCAGATTTGGTACACCATAAAAATATATTAAAACACTCAAGCCTTTTTGTGTCATTTTATTAAAAATCATTTTTTAATAATCTTTTTACATATAAGGGATATGATATGCTTTTTTAGGAATCCTTAGGCCCCATTTACACTATGTGCAGTGGCCACCGCTTTTCTGTACAAGAGAAACGTAGGTTGCCATCAGGGCACTCAGAAAACAGTTGTTACACTACAAAACTGATTTGAGGTGGGTAGCAGATATTATGTATTTTCACATTGCGCTGGAGCTCACCTGAAATCACAGTCAGTTACCACAACTCAGCTGCAGTGCAATGTCATTTTGTGGCACGTCAATAAAATTTAAAAAAAGGGAAAATTGTAAATGTTGCGAGGTGCTGAAGTGCGCAATGTACCAGCCTACCCACCCCACCGCCCCAATCCTGCACAGGAAGTATCGGGTAGTGTAAACGGGTCAGTAAAGCTTCCATGTGGCAGAACAACCCCACTATCAAAAGAACACCGGCTTCACTCCCCTAACGCCACTGTGAGGCAGCCTGCCAGCTTTCTGATTGGTCAGGAAGCCAGGCAGCCTAGTAGCAACAAGTGAAGCCTGCTTCCTAGCCAATCAGGAAGCCGGGAGGCAGGTGATGACATGCTGTTCGGCTTCCTGATTGGCCGGGAAGCCAGCTCCATGCTCCCTCGTGGCACTGCCGGTCAGAGAGAGATCTCCCTCCGACCGGGAGTTCTGGTATCAGGGTAAGTATCGTAGTACTCATCCAAATACTCAGTATCGGTGCATCCCTACTGTATATGAACTCTCCTTGGGATCACATTCCATACCTCAAAGTACTTCAGTTTCTTTGCGTTTTTCATTACAACAGACAGTAGTTTGTAAAATCCACTGATCAAAGGCTGTCGTGTAGAGTGCAGAATAAGTTCATAGCCAAACACAAATACCCAGGATTCAAAGAATTCCACATGCTTGCTTGGTAGTATTTCACTTGAATGAAAGTAAAATCATATTAATGACCAACCAAAAAAAAGAAGAAAAAAAACAGCATGAAACATTCTCTGTGCATGTCTGGGTAAAACAATGCAGCACAGCTTTGCAATACATGCACATCCTCCTTTTTTATATCTTTAAAAATGCTGCACATAGAGAAAAATACATATTGATCTGTCAGAAATCCAGTGTGCACTGGCAACACTCAGCTACACTGAAATCCCAAACAATGTTGTCAGCTCTGCCCAGTTCTCTCCTGCTGGACTAGAATACCTGCCCTTCTCCTCATTTCCATAACATCAGAGGAAGGTAATCTCTAGTGCAAAGGAGATGAGGGAGGAGAGAAAAGTGGGGAGAAGAGAGAGAAGACTTGCTTTGGGCCTCATTGTTTCCAAAAGACCCAAAGATTGGGCCTTTTGGAAAAAAATGGATTGTCATTGCATTGGGCAATGTGCGAGTGCGCCCAACATATGAAGGAAATGTATATTTGTTAAACTATTTGAATTATAAAGTTTCATGACTTTCAGGTAATAAAAGCATAACCGGAAAAAAAAAAAAAAACCATACCTGCAAAATTCTACTAGATTGACAAAGGCAGTCAAATCTTTTGGTTTGGTAGGATAAAGGTTGGCTGCTGGGTCAGAGGTTGCAATAACTAAAGAGCTGCTTTGAACTTCATCATCCTAAACACATGCAGTGGAAAGAAAATGATGACTTATTTTGTTACTGATACACTTGTTAACATTCCATCTACCTCAAAATTGCATTTTGTCAAATACAACTAATTCAGACAATCTAACGAATGGGCTATGAAATGTGACACAAGCAAATAAGATTTCAGGGGAACTCCACAACTGTACAGTAGTTTGTACTTTAACCACTTCAAGACCAGGTGTTTAGACCCCCTTCCTGGCCAGGCCATTTTTCAGTATTCAGCGCTGCGGTACTTTGACTGACGTTTATTCCGTCATGCAGCGCTGTACTGAAATGAATTTTATACCATTTTTTGGGGACACATAGAGCTTTATTTTGGTGGTATTTAATCACCACTGGGGTTTTTATTTTTTACTATAATTAGGGAAACTTACAGAACATTTTGGGAAAAAAAAGTTTTTTTTAACATAATGTTAGGAAACATTTATTATTACCCAGTTTTTTGGTAAAATATAAAAGACGGGGTCACGTGGGTAAATAGACACCAAACATGTCAAGCTTTAAAATTGCGCGCACCCGCGAAATCGCAGAAAACTACCGTACCCAAAATTGGCCATGGGCGACGCTTTAAAAGCTTTTACCGCTCATCAGTTTAGTGTTATCAGTGATTGATGGCCCTA